CTTCGAGACCGCCTCCTGCCACAGATTACCCCCCACCGACCTGTACGCTCTCACAGAGTGGGTCTCCTCAGGGTGCCATCAGCCAGACAGTGCCGGCTGGCGACCCCAAGGGGGAGGGCCTTCTCTGTGGGAGCCCCCACCCTCTGGAACGAACTGCCCCCAGAGATCAGGGTGATCCCTGATCTCCCTTCCTTCCGCCACGCCCTCAAGACGTGGCTGTTCCAACTAGCGGGACTGGCCTGAGGGATTTTAAAGGGGGTTTTAATTACTTTTAAATTGGACATATTTAAATATTTCGTTTTAATCAAATTTTAATTAAGTATATGTATATATGTTAGTATTTTATTCAATTGTCAGCCGCCCTGAGTCCGTAAGGAGAAGGGTGGGATATAAATGCAATTAATAAATAAAAAATAAAATAAATACTTAGATGGAAAAATGGAAGATTTGTTCAGAAACCTCTATCCCAGGGATAGGCAACCTCGGCTCTTTTATGACTCATGGACTTCAACCCCAGAATTCCTGAGCCAGCATGGCTCAGCTTGAAAACTCTCCCTTTCCCCTCAGCATGGCTGGCTCAGGAATTCTGGGAATTGAAGTCCACGAGTCATAAAAGAGCCAAGGTTGACTACCCCTGCTGTACAATTAAGTGATTCTACGTTCAGTTTTCTGCCAGATATGCAATGACCTGTATATTTTTCTAGAAATATTGTGTTTTGACACATTCGCGTTAAACAAATTATAATTAAAATCAGAGCCTTTTTTATGGAATGATCAACTTTTGGAGTCAGTTCCATCACCAATAAAAACCACTTCTAACCAAGCAGTTTGAACAAAAAAGTGATTTATGAGGGCCCCCAGATTTTGATGATGTGATGCTGAGACAGTCATAAGTGTAAACAGTGCTTGTAAATCACTTTTTCCAGTGCCGTTGTAACTTCAGTCACTAAACGAAGGGTTGTAAATCAAGGATTGACTGCCATCTTCATTGAGATAATCAGTGGTTATACAGAAATAGTCTCCAATTCTTAAATAGAATCGGGAGCCGCAGAGATCTGTACTGTAAGATATTGATTAGTGTAAGAATAGACTTTTGTAATAACAGAATAATAGAGTTGGAAGTGACCATGGAGGTCTTCTAGTCCAAACCCCTGTTCAGACAGGAGACCCTGTACCATAACAGACAAGTGGCTGTCCAATCTCTTCTTAAAAGCCTCCAGTGATTGAGCACCCACAACTTCTGGAGGCAAGCCATTCCACTGATTGTTAGGAAATTCTCCTTAGTTCTAGGTTGCTTCTCTCCCCGACATCCATTGTTTCTTGTCTTGCCTTCTGGAGCTTTGGAAAATAGCTTGACCCCCTCTTCTTGGTGGCAGCCCCTTAAATATTGGAAGACTGCTATCATGTCACCCCTAGTCCTTGTTTTCACTAGACTAGACAAACCCAAGTCCTGCAACCGTTCTTCGTATGTTTTAGCCTCCAGCCCCCTAATCATCCTTGTTGCTCTTTTCTGCGCTCTTTCTAGAGTCTCAATATCTTTTTTATATTGTGGTGACCAAAACTGCATGCAGGATTCTAAGTGTGTATTCAACATGGTTTTATTTTAGATCTATAGGGGTACATATATTTCTGTGCAAATTTACCTTGGTTGAAGTGGCTTTGGCTGTTCTCATTTTCTGCAAAAATCAAAGCTCTGGTTTGTTATGTCATAGCATTTGCATCGGATGGCATAATTCTTTTTGCGTACTTACTATGCGGCTGAGTCATTAAGCTGATACTCTCTCGATCGGTTGAAACAGGCTTGAACACCAAGATCTTTCCACAGTCTTTTGATCACCCCGGCAAGTTCTCCCGTCATAAAACCTTCTTCTGCTGCTCCAGCAAGGACAAAGAGTAGACGTGCATCATCCTAGGAGGAGGAGGAGGAGGAGGAGG